GACTGTATCCCACAGTTACTAATACCTAGGTAACTTTACAGCCCTTGTTGGAAAACCCATTGGATCCTATCCCTGATTCCCGATGGGGCTCCGACTGATACAATATATACGGCACTCAGAACAGTATCAGGCACATAGTAAGAACTATGTGAGTGTCAAGTCCTGTTATTTATCCATGTAGGTGAAAAAATAACACTGCCCATCAGAGCATGGCCAAGGATGCTATGTGCCTGACAAACCCCACGGTGCATAAAAATCATCTTCTGTGGGAGCCTCCAGTCCACACACGTGACCGTGACTCAATCACCCAGGCATGCTGTAAAGCAAATGATGACACAGCTTCCATAGCATTAGCAATTTTTTATTTTTCCTTTTTTGTTGCATAGGAAATGCAGTACTTGCTTCCAGTAATTGTATTGTAATGTGAGAAGGTGGTAGCACTAATGGTTGAATACAAGAGTTAAACTAATCCACACCAGCTCAAAAAACCTGTGGAGATTTAGTTGAATAAGAATGGACGCCCACAGTGATTCTCAACCAATTACAAATTTTCACAGAACACAGTAAAACTAAAAGGGTAACTATGAGAGTCAATACAAGTATACTAGAGGCACAGGGGGCCCGGCTCATAAAAACAGATTTCAGACCAAGTTATTAACACGGGGGGTGTTTCGTTTCACAACGGATCTCTTACCATCACTAGATGTGTTCCATCCCCTCCCCCTACAATTTGAAATGGAAAATGGAGGTATTCCGAGTGAACAGATTTCCACGCGTGGTGGGAAAAGTTCCCAGTGAACTTTGCTCTGGTGAGGGGGCAGGGCTAAGGATGGAGCAGGGGATCAGGGATTTGCCTGTGAGAGTCTTCCTAAAGGACCTCCTAGGACCTGATAAAGCTCCTAGTCTAGGTCTAGTTAGTACCTCAGTGGCGAGGCTACCAAATGCCTTCGCAGTGCAGAGACAATGGTCTGAGACCAGGGAGAAGGCACCGAGCCCGCAGCTCTCTCAAGCCTTGTCCCAGCAGAGCTAGCGGCCTTATGACCTTCGGTTGCAATGTCAAAAAAAAAAAAAGAAACAAAAACAAAACAAAAAAAAAAACCAAACCAAAAACAACAACAAAAAAACTCAACAGCAAAAACAAAACCAAAACCCAAAAAGGCTAATTTACAGACTGTTACCAAAAAAATAAAAAATAAAAATTTTAAAAATAAGAGGAACACAAAAAAAGTCAAAGGAAAAGTAAAAGCGTTTTTCATTTTGAGAAGCTGAGTATAAAAACAGCAGGAAAAATGTTACGTTGGACACTATTTGTCCTGGAAACCACTGCAGAGATACGAAAGTTCACATTGTACGACCCGGTGGGTGTTTTCCACCACGAAGGTGCTCTGGTTAGATTAGAGGTAGCACTTCCACTGTATCCTCTTGTGGTTCAGACACATTTTGGGAAAGTTTGTGTTTTTGAATCAAATAGGCGAATGAGTCTACACGTGAAACTCAGGGTACCAGGCACACAGCTGAGGCCCCAGCCCCACACGCGCCTCCCTGTTCTTAAGCCCAGCTGTGGGTGGTCCCCCTTATCTTTCTAAGCATTTCCGCTATCTGCTCCCCACATGCCCTCCCCCTAATCTGGGTAAGGTAACTCTTTGGGGGAATAAAAGGCAGATGGGTGCTGGTTTAGGGAAAAAAAAAATGAGATGCAATTTATTTAATTTGGGAAGCAAGTAATTTCAAATTTAGATCAAAAAAAGTACATTAAAAAAATCCCGTGTTAATAGCAAACTTCTTTTTCTTATGAATCGGGCCCAAAGTTTGTACAGAGTTTTACTTTTGAAGAAAATATTGCAACTGTGCATGAAACTAAATAGCCATGTGATTTCTTAAAATTTTTTTCTTTTTTTTTCCTTTTAATATGAGGAGGTCTGGTGTGAAGACGGATCAAGCATGGGTACCTGGCTAAACACTGTCCATTAAGAAAATGTTTCGGTCTCAGCAGAGCTTCAGTTGAGGGTCAAGGAAAATGTCCCTCCCTTGCCAATGTTCTCAGAGCGTCTTCGTAGCAGAGTTCTTGAAATTCGAATGGTGGCTTTGAGACAAAAATCTTGCCAGGTACTGATTTCTGAAATCAAACACCCATGCTTGTCCCCTAGGAAAACGAAAACAAAAACCAAAAACAAAAACACAAGTAATACTGAATTTAAGTAAATGTATACCTCCAAAATACTGAAAACAGCCGAAATCAAGAAAAGACAGAATTTGCGTTCTCAGTGAAATACCTTTAAACCTAGCTGACAAGAACCAAGTCAGAAAAAAGACTAACATAACATTGAGTAATATTCATACAGTTCACTAAGCATTATGGAATAGCATGCATTAATATTGTACGGTTATTTTACATCACCTATACCAGAAGGTCCTGACTGACAGACAGCGAAGGCTACCGGTGTAGAAAAATCTTACTTCAGAAGAGCAATATAATACAGATTTCACAGGCACTACATTTTAATATATCAGGTATTATGCTGGTTTTCTTATAATTCTTTCTGTCCTAAAGCTGGCATTATAACAATGACCAAAAAGGCAAGGATTGAAGTAAACGGAAAGTAGATACCAAAGTTGATATAGTTTTTTTTTTTCTTCAGATAGATTAGTGCATAGTTCTCATGCAGATAAACACTGCTATGCATTTACACTGTTGGAAAGCAGAGTGAATTGAGCCCAAGTTGTCACATTTGTGTAAATCATTTTGTCAGCCTATAATAGCACCATGTAATGGATTTGCATTAAACATTAAATTGATTTCAAAATTGGTGACACAGTATTCACTACAGTTAAGTGCTATGGAATAGCTTCAATGTTACCTGCTATATATCAAAGCAATTTTCATCCCACTGCTTTTTTATTGGAAAAAATTAAAGGAAAACATACACGACGCTAATTAGACGAATGCACAGCCTTGGACGTGGAGAAGGCAGAGCGGGTTTACTGTCAAACAGTAAAAACATGCATTGACTTCAAGACAGAATTGGCTTTGGAAGCCCGTTTGAACGAAAGCTGAGCTGGTGGGCAGTGCAGCTTTCTGAGACCGTCTTTGGACAGATCTCGGAGGGTGGGTTGTGAGGTGCCACTGAAGCTCTCCTTACATTACTATGGTGGTTGTGTTTTAGATTTGTTCTATGGAGGCCTGCTACCAAAAATAAAAAGAAAAGAAAGAATGAAGACAAGAAAGAAAACAGAAGCAATCAAAAAGAGAGAGCGAGAAAGAGAGAGAGAGACAGAGAGAGAGAGAGAGAGAGACACCACCACCACTATGGACAAAGATATTTCCAGAGACATGATGGAAAGTACATTGAATGACATTCTTAGAATCCCTTTCCCCTAAAAAAAAAAAAAAAAAAAAAAAAAATCACACAAAAAATGTTTTTCTTAATCCAGGTTTTGTCAATCCTTTATGACACTGTAACTACAGAATCCAAAGCTTATGGGGCTAAGGGCTTGGGAAAAATGAAAGACAAACTTTTGGAGATGGGTCTTGCATATTCCTGTGGGCTGACTGAACACCGTGGCTTGGGGAAGTCTGGGTTCCTTCACACTTCGCCTGTCAGAAAATGAAGATCATAAGCTCTGGGAGGTGTAACCTTGTTGGCCTGCCTGGAGCCCACACCTGGTGGCGGGGACGGGCCTGGGGAGCGGGCTGACCATACGAAACTGTCATGCCAGGGTGTGAAGAAACAGTACATCAGTTCAAACCTCAGAGGAAAGAAGAAGGCTCTCTAAGATGGAGAGAGTGGTATTTATGGGACGGCCTCTGCCCGCAAATGATCAGAAAAGGGGTGTTTTGCTGGCAGGGACAAGGGCCGGAAGAAAAAGTCTATAGAAAAATGCTCAGATTTAGTGTTCGTGCCTCTGACTTCAGTTCCCAAAGGAAAAAAAAACACAGAGATTTGAGGGACTCATCTTTGCCAATCTTGTTAATGCCATTTGATGGGAGAGAAAAAATTCCAATGTGTCTCAGAGCCAAGGGCTGGGCCTTCAAATGCTGATAGCTCTCGGTCTGTCTGTCTACACACCCCAGGTAGCAAAGTCTTCCTCAAACATCTTCACTAGGCTTTTAAGCTAAAAAGCAGAAACACTGGAAACTGTTGGTGTTTCTTTTTTCCTGCTTGATCACAACTGAACTAGTTTCCTGCTGCTTTCTGGACAATGAAACATGAACAAAAATGTAACTTAGTGTATTTAATACTTAACCCCTGTTCGTTATCACCCTAGACTGCCTCCCTAATGTTTTAAAGCCTTTAAAACATTTTTTTTTCCTGCAAATCTGTTCAGAGTTCCCTAATTTAGCTTCATCAAACTTAATACAACAAAATACCTTCAAAAATACAGCATACCTGTAACGTCCATTTACAATGGTTTTTCAGTAGACCTACACTTCTCAAGCATAGGAATATGCTATACCATTGAGAGAAAAAAAAAAATAACTGTATTTAAATACTTACAAAAAAAAAAAAAAAAAGGAAACAGGAAAGTTTTAAACTTAAATCCAGTTCCCAAAGTGGGGTAAAAAGAAAGAAAAGCAATTCTATGAATGCTGCCTTTATAATGAACAATCAGAAATTTCACTAGGCTAATTTGACAGAAATTTTTCCTCATTTAAACAACATTACAAAAGTCCTGCATTATAAAATAGGGTAGAATAAATCAGTGTAATCAATAAAACTATACAACAATACAAATTACATATCTTCTGAGTGGGCAGTTTATTCTCTCTCTTTGCAGTCATGACTACAACATGCTCACTAAAAACAACTAAAACTGCCCAAACTATTGCTTAGTTTGTTTTGTTTAAAAAAGGGTGCAATTTTATTGTATATACAACCAATTTACTGGTAATACCTTGGCTTATTGCAAGGTTCTGACAAAATGTTTGTCTAGGCTTTTTTTCCCTTCACTGTGAAGCACTGAAAGCTGCTATTTTTTTCCTTTTTTTTTTTCTTTTTTTTCTTTTTTTTTTTTTTAGTGCACATATGTCATAATAAAGTAATGCCCAGCTAAGTGCTATAGGGGAAGGCAAAGTATGCTGGCTGGCTATAGGAAGTGACACCATACACTGACAATCACACCATACAACAGCGCCAAACGACTATTCAACCACTTATCAGACACATATGAAAATCCAAAATGTTTTATTTTATTTTTTTTTCCTTAAATAGAGATAACCAGTAAACAATTTTCAGAACTTGGAAGTTTAAAAACGTGCATATAAAAATGGGCATTATATACTTTTTATTGAATGTGGATTGACTGCAGTCTGCTAAGAAAAATGGGGTGTGGGAGCTGAAGAAAAAGGAAGTTGTCTTTTTTTTTTTTTTAAGGCTTGCTTGTGAAAGGAACAGTTGTAAAAACAAAATTGCTTGAAGCAGGGTCAGCTTAGTGCTTCACAGTTTGACTGCTTCTCTAAGAGGAGCCCTTCCTGCGCACGTGCATTCAAAAATCACAAAAAAGTACAAAGACAAACACCTAAAACACACTGCGTCAAGTGCAGCACCGACTTTGGTCAAATAAAAAAAAAAAAAAAAAGAAAAGAAAAACTAATAATTGCTAAGCTTTTCTACATGATATAAGCAGGTATTGCATATTTTCATATATCTGGGGGAAAATAAAGGAAGACTCCAAATAAATTGTAAAATGCAGCAACATCCAAAATACTGATATTCTAAGCATCTACAGATCTCAGAATAGCACTGCCACCGACCGTACAGGACAATAAAGACTACTCCTATCTGCGGAACAACTAGCTTCCTATTTAGTTCTAGATGTTGAAACTGACGATGGCTGACATAAAAGTCACATTTACAAAAAGTGTCTCCAAATGCTTGACTAGGGAAAAACCCCTTTCAATAGAGGAGCATGTGCAACAATTCCACAAATAATCGCTATCCAGGGCAAGGCACATTGATATGGAATTTTTGTTTTCGTGCAAATTAAGGAAAAAAAACAAAACAAAACAACATTGTTTCGGGGGGGAAAGATGAGGAGCAAAGTGTCTTCCCAAGAATTTCAGTTACTTGATTGTATAGGACAGTAGTAGAACCCTTCTGAAGGGCTGAAAAACATAGTTTAAAGGCAAGTGCCTAGAGTAGGGATTACAATATTGTGTCTTAATGCACTCTACTTTATCCTACATTAACTATATAAAAATTAGTTACTAACACTAGAACATGCAGAGACTTTCTCTGATCAGCAGGACTTGCCAACCAGAACGTATATATATGTATAGTATAGGAAACCTTCTTGAAGTCGCATGGGAAGCAAAGGGGTGCTTCGCTGTCTGGTAGAAAAATCACTTGCACTTTTTTTTGTTTTTGTTTCTGTGGTTTTTTTGTTTTTTTTGTTTTTGTTTTTTTTTTTCATAAGATACAGGACATTTGGGGGTGCAAACTTTTTTTTTTCCCTAACAAGTACCCTTGATCTGAATGGGCACCAGCATTTGTGTCAGTATTGGTTTCATCATCATTATTATTACTACTATTATTATTTCCCGTAGCCCAGTTCAGGGACGCAAAGGTCTTTAAAACTTCTGGACAATCTCTGGTACAATGAGGTGTCTGGTAACTGATCAATCCTATGATGCCAGATACGTGTAAAAATTTTTAGAATTGGCATAATCCATTATAGTGACTTCTAGCTTATAAAATTAACAGATACCATGATTTCATTTTAGTCATGTGCTTTGATAACAGAAAATAATTAGCATTTAATGTAGTTAACATATTGTGGTAAAAGCACCATTAGATTTGTTTTTTTGTTTTTTTTTTTAAATTTCCTTCAGTTTTTTTTAAAGGGATACAAGTTTAACAATAAAAAACATAAAAAGCAAAAATAGCTCCCCTTTTTCTTGCAAGGCTGTTTTTTACCCCAATAATTTAGAGTCCTGGGGTGAAAGGACTTGAAAAACAAAAATAGAATTTTCAACAATCTCTATCTTACAAAGATATTTAGCTATCCAATGAAATTGCACTTTACTCAATTCAAAATTCGATTGTTTTGATTGATTCCTGTCAGTTTCTGTCAAAACAGACCATCTTCCCCATTTCCACGTGAATTTTTGTGTCATTGTTGAAATTGTTGAAAAAATGTTGTTGTTTTTTTTTTAAATGTAAGTGCAGCATTTCAAAACTTTTAAAAAACTGAACAGTAGTAGTAGTAGTTTGCCATTTTCGGAATTGTTCTGCAATGTAAGTGGATTCATTGTCCTTGCGGGCCATGTTACATACTTAACTGCTGACTGCTGAACCAAAACAAACTAAAAGAACAAATAAAAAAGGAAAAGAACTGCATTTTCTTTTTCCAATATGTTACAGAAAAACATTGCCCTTTGACTGTCCCGTAAGTTATATATTGCAGATCTCAGCTACTACAAAAGATTTAGTTCTCCATGTGCCTCCTCGATGCTCAAGGAGGGTCACACCTGTGTGGGTAAATTCATGAAATACTGTGAAACAGCCAGGCTCCGTAAGGAAAGTGTGTTACAACAGGAAGTCAGTGAGCAAGGGTAGTCCTCTGCTAGCCACATCACCTAATGCTCACGCTACCATGGAAACACTTCAAATGTTACAAAGCCCAACCATTTCCAGCACCATATGAGAAATTACAACAGTCCCTAAAGTATTTAAAAAAAAAAAATCCCAAAAGGTTATGGCCTTTGCTGTTTGACCATAATGCTTGCTGTTTCCATGTACAAGTTGATTTGAATCGGTTTTTCTCCCCTTCCACTGACAGTGAGGATGGAACTGCGCTGGGTTGAGGTTGCGTCCGTGTTACAGAGTTGAGAAGGGGTCAGGTGGTCTGTCTGGTGGATGGTGGGACGCTGCAACTTTTATCCCAGGTACCAGGACTGGAAGACAGAAGGAGAAGTGCAGTTAGAAGCACAATCTGTAAAACAGCGTGTTTTAGAAGTTGCCTTTTCAACCATGAAATCACGATGTACGTTAGGGATGTGGGAGGGGTTCGCTGGGAAGAGTAAAAGGAATGGCAGACAAGAGTAAATCCTGTGACACTGAAACTGATCTCACTCCTCTGAAATTATACTTCATTGTCTTCGTTCAGGTTTTCCAACGTTCAAGTGTGTCTTACAAAATGAGGTATTTCTGTTCACTTGACATACAAATAAGGGTTTTGTTATCTGATGGGGGCAGTCATAAGAGGGCAGGAAACTTGACCATCTTGTTTATCATTCAATCCTCAGTGCCTAGCCCAGTGCCTGGAATACAGAATGTTCTTAATGAAGAAGGGCTGAATGAATGGAGAATGGGTAAAGGGAGAGGTTTCATGTGGCAATGAATGGCTACTCTGATGATTTTCAACATCTCCTTTCAAATGAGGTGCAGGCACTGAAGACATGATTGTGACACTCTCCTAACAGGCACAGATGGTCAATACCGATACAAGAATGACTGGAGGTAAAGTGGAAGAAGAGCTGTAGCAGTCTTCCTGGGTGATTCTCAGCAAGTCACAGCATTTTTCTTTCCTTATCTATGCAAGATTTTATGAGGGAAGATGCTCCTTTCAGCCTAATGTTTCTAAAATCATATTTTCCAAAATGAAACATAGTAACTAAGTAGGATCAAGATTTTACTCTCTTAAGTACCCCGCTGTCCAAAGGAAAAATGAGGCCACGGCATACCTCTCTCATTCATGCTTGCATTCATGCAGCATTTATTTAGAGCCTTCTACACAGCCTGCTGGGCCCAGTGACTGGTTATCTTTTCCTTTTGTGAATGCTTAGGTGATTAGCTTTGAGCAACTGTCTGGTCATCTATCACTTTATCTTGCTGGCATTTCTTTTTCTGTTAGCTAGACAGAGTGAACAATTATGGACTAACATCAGAGTTAGTTTCTCCAGTGAAATAAAAAAGTATGCGGCTATTGCCGACTTTTCTCTAGAGATACCCTGACAAATTCACTACATTTATCATTATTTACAGGAAAATTACCAAAGCTTTGCAAAAGCCCATGCTTCTGAATTCTCTAAGCTGACAGTATCAGAAAGGGTTCTAATTGGGTTGCTTTAGGCAGGTGAAGGACCATCCCTGTGGAAGAGATTCAATTAGGTAAAGTAAGGACTCATTTGGTCCCCAGGGATGAATGGCTAAATGATAGCTACATGGAGTTTGGTATAAGATTTCCTAGTCACACAAGCCACCTTTGATTTCCAGAAGAGTTTAAAAAAACTTAAGCCCAAACCGAAAAACTACTCATCCTGTAGACTTTTAGATGTTATTCTTTGACCACATGCTTTGAGGAACACAATAAAGCCTCTTGTGTCCTGAAAGGAAATCAGCCTGGCAAATACACACGGCCTAAATCTAACTGGACTAAAGAAAGAAGAGGGGGAGAGAAAGGAGGGAGAAGGCGAGCCCCAAACTGTGTTTCTAGTAGGCCTTTACCTAACAGCTGACTCTGATCCGCGCTAGAGGCGCTTCCTCTCTTCAACAAAACAGGCTCAAACTTTGGGTGCAGGGGATAATGCGTACTATTTCTGTTTTCACACTTTCTAAGGCGGTTGTGAAATTCCAGACTTCTTCAATCTGACACTAAGGTAGTTCTTGAAGCAAAGGCCTGGGACCCAGTGAGTCAGCAGGGGGAGCAGTTTTCCACACCACAGTTTCTGGACGAGACCTCGGGGCACTACAAAAATCTGCAGCGCCTCTGCACTTCTCTTAAAAAGCAAAGCAAAAAAAAAAAAAAAAAAAAAAAGTTTCTTCACACATCTTACTATTCAGTATGTGCCTTGCCGACAAGGTTACCCCAGAGCAGCTCTGTAATCCTTCACTGAAATAGGCTTTATTGATTGCTCTGGTCTATTGTTCTCTTTTCAAGTCCCCCAAGTTCAAGTTCATCCTGGTGTTACATCATGTCTGGTTGCTAAGAGCAACCAGACAGACCCAGACGTGACTATCATTAGCAAGAAACCCTCTGCTCTCCTCCCACCAACCTTCCAGTGGTTCTGACGTAGCAAGCCCACTGCAAACACATTGAAGTATTTATTCTGCCTAATTTATGACCTACACAGCAAGCAGGACCCCCACTCCAAAAACCAACACTGTTGTATATTTAATTAATCTGTCTTTCTCTGGCACTTGGGAAAGTTAGACAAAGGACTAATTATTGTGTTTCACTCTCCACACTTTTCTTTTGGGGGGTGGATATTTGCATGGGAAAGAAAACTACAAGGCCCGGCATCGGCCCCCCTCCTCTTTTTCTTTTTGCCCTATTGACATTTCATGAAATACTTTAGCTGCTTAAGGGAATTAGAAAAAAAAAATGCGATGTGAATGTTACTCCTTCTGAGTTGGTATTCAGTAACACAAATCAACTCATGACATGTTTAAATTTAAATGCTAACCACACACTCTCAGAGTTACTTTAAAGGTTAGTTTTTAATCAATAGAAGTTGCTGACTCTGGGTTTTTGAGCTGCGCACTGCAACTCTTGGGCTTTTGTCTAACGTTAAAGCTTTCAAACTTTTTTTTTTTCCTTGAGATGATTTTAGCAATGATTTGCAGACACAGAAGGCTATTGTGCTCTGACCAGCAACATGTCAATAGAGGGGCTGAGCTGCCCTGTGGTGGGGTGTCAATATGACTCCTGAAGGCAGAGGTTGGGGGTCTTTAATAACCCGTGAAAAAACCTTAATTAACCCTTTCAGGCCCAAACCAAAACCTATTCTTAAACTTGTTCACTCCTATAATTTGACCATTAGTACTTATTTCAACATCACACTAATCTTCATGACAATTAACCCAGCTACTTGACCAAGGGTTTCCAGACTAGGAAGTTGGTTAGGGAACCCACACAGGGAATTTTTTTTTTTTTAAGTCTCTGATTAAATCATTTATTTGCAGAGATGGCAGATAGGCAGTTCTAACAATAACAATAATAATAATTCATACATCTCCCTGAATTTTCTCCTAATCAGTTTGTAGTTAAAGACACTCATAATTCCCCTGGAATGAGTGTGATAGTCACACATGTGTAAGCCAATCAATTTCTACAAACTTCCGTGAGCTGCTAGTAACACCAGATGGACAATATAATGTTTGTAAAAGCCTACTTTTCTCTTGTGATAGTTTCTTATAATTTCTATTATGCAAGTAGTACAAGTTTTAGAACATTCACTGAGGAATGACTCTGCATATTTTCTTTTTGGGTCGTATAGGAAAAACATAAAAGAGATCTGAGATTATTTGATTGTTGGGGTTGAGTAGCAAATCACTGAGAATATGTTGACACATTAAACAAAATCCATTTATGGAGAGTCAAAAAACCATCGTCAGACATCGACTGACATAAGCCTAGGTTTCATATGGTTTCTGCCTTCGTACTTTATAGCTCCTTAATCTACCCTACTGTATCCAAATGGACTACAAAGGACTCTCCCTCCCTCTGTGTAGTGAGTGGCATTATTACAATACAATATAGGATGATGTTATCTTGATACATTTACATTAAGGAAGTAAATGCAGAGCTTTGATCTATTTTCTCCTCGGGAACTTTCAGCTATAGTTGTTGTGGAGGTCCATAAATCCACACTCCCACCAAGGTTCCAGTTACGGAAAATTAGTCGGTAACATTCACAATGTCTACGTTTGGGATGTGCTGAGCGGGAGTGGGGAGGGAAGGTGGGTGATTGTCCTCTTTCAGTGTTCAAGGTGAAACATCAAAAGAAATCTGCAGTCCAGGACAAGAGCTCAGCTTTCCTTTTCTCCAGTCAAATGAAGAAGTAATCTCATCAGGTTGGAAAAGTGCTGACTAAGGATTTAATAAAGTGCCTGCAGATGTGGCGTCTCTAAGGTATTCAACTCATGTAATGCAAAACAGCTCCACACTGAATGTGCTTATAAAATTTCATTTAACCATTGCAGCGCGACTTTTTTCCCCTCACAGTTCTCTAAGGAGTTTTATCACACTTGCCGCCCGTTAATTTACAGCTCCATGAAAGTTCGAATCCCATTCCGCTGGGATTCTGGAATACTCACAGTAGTCGGGTTTTATGAACCATAAACAATATCTATCTGACTGCATCCTAAACAGGAAGCCTGAAATGGCAGAAGGTGCCTCTGACGGTGCCAATCTCTTCCGTTTCTTATGCCTCACGGAGAACCATCAGAACACAGGGGCCGTCTTCCAAAATATGGACAGGGGGCTGCTGAAGACGCAGCTGAGGAAGGCCACAGCCGCAACCCCCGAGTTAACAACAGATGCTCTAAAGTGTGCAGCAACTTTTTTAAAGGCTTTTTACATCCTCTTTTTACTAAGAGGGCAGGAAGCACATTCTAGAGGGAAAAGAAAAAATCTGAGAGACATTTTTCATATTGCATATTTTACTTTAACCCCCAAAAGGAACAGAGAGTGCTGGGGTGGCAGGAGCAGAGAGGGCAGAGTGGACTGTGACGCAGCGCAATCTGTTTTTCAGATTAAAAACTTAAACAAAAGGCCTCAAGGGCAAAGTGTAACACTGCGGAAGGGGGCTGTTAATGTGGAATGCAGAACTGGGTGTGACACTTGGCTTTCTTCTGCAGGCAAGGTGGGTCATTTGAGGACATTCACACGCATCAAATGGAAACACACAAACACGGGGCCGCTTCCCTGCACCCTGCAGGCCCAGCTCCTCATCGGTCCCCCAAGAAGACTCGGCCAACCCACGGGGCAAGGTCAAGACTACAGGAGTTGGCTGTCACTGCTGCGCACTGTCTCCTGAGGAGGGGCTAGCTTTGCTGGGTCACACTACTCCCGTTGGTCATTTTTGGCTTCCTGAACTTGCGAGGATGGACTAAAGCCCACCCTTTAGCTCAAATGAGCTGTCCTTGGCAAATCAGCCCAAAGCCCGGTAGC